GTATATAAACATTCACATTTCATTCATAGATTAACTGTCGCCCGCGACTCAGTCTGCGTGGAATTAAAACAAAAGTAAATAGGCTATGTATGCTTAGAGACTATTGTACATCAGTGCAAAATTTGATCTAGATCCGTTCAGCCGTTTAGGTCACAAACTCTAACAAACATCCATCTATCTATATATTGAAGAATTACAAATAAAATAAAACCTACACTAGGACAGTGGGCAGCAAACTTATTAACCAAAGAATAAAATATAAAAATTAAAAAGATGTTGGGAGCTATATCTATTTGTTTAGTAAATTTACATCACAGTACATAGTAGTACACCAAATAAAACAATATTACATACTGACTTATATTGAATATTACAAACTGTTATAAATGTAATCAATGTGCTGGCATCTACTTACAAAATGTTAAAAATTTAGAGCCACACTTAAAAAGCCAAAGAGACTTGCGGCTCTTAAGAAGCCAACGAGCCGTGTAGCTATGAACTTCAAGAAGAAGAAGAAGAAGATTCCACTTACCCCATGTCGGGTCGGAGTAGTAGAATGTGGTGTACTTAAGATGCTTGTTGAGGAACTCCGCACCCACACGCAGACCTCCAGTGCCTGACAGCGTTTGCACACCGAATGCCTAACATACGAAAAATCTTTATAAAGTCTATATTCCTTAAGGGCATGGGCACATTTAAAAAGGTCAATTAACCCTTAAATACCTGAATTTTCATATTTGATAATTGGCTGTTTAAAGGTAACATACCTTTGACAGATAATCTTCAAGTTAGAAAACATAAAGAAGCTATCACGAAAATATATCAAAATATCGTTTTGATTTTTTACTACTGTAGCGCGTTAGTAAAAAGAGCATTAATGGGTACACTTTACATTTTGTACATCGCTTTAAAAATCAGGCTTAAGGGTTAGGACATTTTAATTTACAGCTTTTTACCATAGCTCATATATCTGGCTCATACCATAACGGATCTTAACATAATTGTATGAAAAACCTACATTCCGATAAAGAAGTTGCTGCTCGTCGGTTATTGATAAGAAAAAACATACATTAATTTAAATACGTTTATTTAATGTAAATATCGGTTCGATTGCTTATTTACCAACACTCGCTGCTTTATTTCATCACATTCGATCATTCGTTACTCAATATAAACGTATCAAGTATCGATCGTCACATCATCGTGTTTGCGTCAAGATAATGTTTGTGTAAACATTTACATAACTGGATGAGTTAATCCAACATGATTGGAAGATATCAAACAGTACTCAAGTACAATCAGGGAAACTGGCGGTATTCCACCTTAAAAGTTACAATAGTTTGAACATTTGAAACGAGACGCGGAATGAAACCAATACAACGCAGCTTATAAATATATCTGTACGAAAAGAACTCGGTTGGTGAAATACGGAAAGTTTCTTTTCATTATTATCCCTTCATTTGCACTCACTGCTAATTAGTTATTTGTAGGAAGAAGCGGAGTTTGTCTCGTTGCAATGAACAAGGCATTTTTTTAAAGGTACACCGCGGATTTCCGCGACTGTACTTCCATTAGGATGTGGATTAACAATCAACTGACAATATATATTGCTAAATGCTGGGTTCTACTATATTTGGTTGTTATAATAGTACAAAATACTTACACGACCTTCAGCGATCACGGGGTTATCTTCTCCTAGCAACATCGACACTGACGCTGACGTAAACTGGTCCAAGCCTGGAATACAACATAACAATTAACAGCGCCCTTAATATAACCAACATTATACTAGCTTTTGCTGGTGATGGAGAGAAGAGGTTGCAGGCTACAATTAGCCAAAGATTCCTTAGTATCGGAATTTTAAGATTATTTCAACGGTACAAGAGTTTTTAGAATTCCAAGTGTTGTTAAGGAGTCACAAAATAAGTTGTTTAACGACGTGATATTGATGTTTCGATGTTGTCAAAATTCTAAAAAAATATTTCTATGAATCATTTGTGGTCATTATTGTTATCGAGCTCGTGGCCTTCGTGTCAATTCCAGTTGCCCGTACCTCGTCCGTTCGCTCTCGTAATTGTGCCAAATTGCACGCAAAAGATACAATAGTTTAAAATTATCTTAAGAGTTTTGAATGATAATCCTTTCTTTGTATTCCCAAGATAAATCGGGGTATCTCATAAAGTTGGTCTTTTATTTAATATCTTTAGACAACCAACATGGCTTACTATTTCACTTAGAAAGTTTAAGATCTTAGGTGCCTTAATTCTTTTTTTATTGCAGGGTTAATAACCTTGACATCATCAGCTACTGTTATGCAAAAATAAAGATAAACTTGACGTACTGTTCGGCAAGTTTCGATATCACGACACGTACATTGTAAAATGTACTCTATTTCATATCTTATGAAGTCTAATATCAATTGTTGATGTAAATTTGTTATAGGCTACTAAAAATCTATGGTTTTATTCCGATAACCTATCACTAACAAGATAAGACGATAGCTAATGAGGTATTGTTAGCTAATACTCGGAGAGATAAGTTTTGAAATGAACTAATGTAATTTTAGATTAAAGTCAGATAAAAACGTTGACTTCAATCTATTTCGATTGAAATTTCTTTCATTGATTAATCTTTGTTAACTAATGAAATGGAGCATCATGAGTAGGATTTAAAAAAATATGTTTAGGATAACAAACATATTTCAGTTAATAATTTAGTATTTTTACATAAATACACTGCAGTCTTTCATTTGTTTATTAAAACTGTTTTCCAATAATATATGATTTATAACACGGCTAAAACTCACGTGGGAACTTTCGGTGTATGAGAAACTGGTCGGTGCCTACACCGAAAGTCCCCACGTGAGTTTTAGGCGTGTTAAAAATCATATAGTATAATGTCTCACGAATGTTTTAATAAGGTAATTAGTTTTCCAATAAACTTGTATTATTTTCGCATAAAAAATCTAGAAAGGCATTCCCATGACACTGAATCTATTAAGTTACTTGTAAATAATTCATGTTTAAAATAGAGTTACTTTTTATAACTGTACCAATATAGACATGGTAACTTGTAAAAATAACTAGTTGGCATAGTTCCTCATAAACAACTGCATAGCTGGATACTGTCCAACTAAAAATTCTATTTACTCTTCTATTTATATTATTTATCACTTTGTCAACAGATAACATAAACATACAAGAATAGAAATTTGTGTATACACAATTATAATTTGTACATCCATTTACACATAAACAAACACTTCTTATATTAACTTTATATTTAAGTCATTTAATTGTTTTAAAAATTATTACCTTTTATTTAATCTGTATCATATACTAGCTTTCGCTCGCGACTCTGTTCGCGTGGAATCAAAAAAAACAAAAGTGAGTAGCTTATGTGTTTTTTCAGACTATTCTTCACATTTATACAAAATTTCGTTGAAATGTGTTCAGCCATTTAGGCTACAAACTCTAACAAACATCCATCCATCTATCTAAACTTTCACATTTATATTAGTAAGATAAGCAATGTCAGAGCCCTCAAATTCATTTCTTAAATATCAGGTTCCTATTAAGAAGATTTGGATGCTAGAACTTAGGTACTACTATAGAATAATAAACATGAACAATTTGTCTTTGCATTTTATATTATACTGTTGTTCTAAGTTACCTCAAACTAAAACAACTCTTGGGAAATAACCTACAATTTAAGTTAACAATTCATCAACATATACCAAACTAAGTAACATTCATGAAAAAGGGCTCATCAGGCGATTCTTACCAAGTACTGGTAGATATTCATGTAGCAAGGAGTCATCCTCTGCCATCTGCTTTTCTGTTCTGCGTACCACTGGCAGCACCCATGGTTTACCATTTTCATCTCTATATGCTACATTAAAGGAAAATAAATCAATATGTAAAATGATTAATACATAAGTATGATATTCCATGTTTTGTGATCTTGACATTATTAACACATTTAATATTATACTGAAAAATTAAAGAAAAATCTACTAAAAATATAGACTATGTAATTCAATGATTATATAGGTTTTAATTGTAAAATTTTTTGAATCAGTTCTGTAGTTTCAGAGCATATTCAATGTAAAACAAGTATTTCTATATAATAGGAAGCTTTCTAACATCCATAAAAATACATTTGACATATTGAAAAATGCTAGTAAAATTTAGTACTGAAATCTTGAAATGCTTTCTGCTTACTTATGTTTATTTAATTTAACATAACCATGAAAAGTTCTTAATAAATACAGAACATTATGTTTGGATAGATTGACTTAATTACACCCATCCTCATAATAGTCAAAGAGCTCAAGTGAATGTGGGAAAATTATTTAAGTTGAGTCATTTGTAGATTATAGTTTAGGTAAAGATTTGACCTTCATAAAGCTATGCTGTAATCAACCTAAATTATACAAATTATTTTCATACATAATCTAAAATTTTAAATAATGAATAAATAAATACAATATTTACATCAATAAATAAAAACAAGAACCTACCGGCCGGTTACATAATGAATTGTGTATTCAAAATTTTAATCAATATGAATGTTACACTTCGATGATACGAATTTAAAACAATTTATATTAAAAAGTTAAACATTTTTAAACTTACCCCCAATTGTTAAATTGACTTTATTTTTAAATGTGTCATCGATAAAACGTTTATTAAGTTGGAAGACTTCGATTGGAGGTCCTTGCTCAACACCGGCAAAACGCGAAGCCATTTTTTTATAAAGTAATCTTACCGCAGTAATGCTGATTTAACTAAACTGAAAACTTATCAGACATGCAAACTTATTTTGTTTGAAAATTATCGCGTGACCTTCAAACGTCAACCAATGTCATTTTGCGTTGAGCAGTCTAGCAGCGTTCATCTTAAGTTTCTGGCACGTTCATTCACATTTTATATGGCAACAATGCCAAAGGTCTTTAAGACCCTCGGTTGCCACCAAGTTGCCACGGTGCAGACGCACTTTCTACGCTTATTACTTAGAAGCTTTTAATACATGTTATTGATCATAATTGTTAATATGAACAATAAAATAAGCCTAGAAATAATGGTTCGCGATACATTTAAGGTGCGTTTTAATACTAAAATGCTAAGGTATACTTCTTTGCACAATAGTTCTAAATACGATTAAAATTATTATGAATTGGCAACCTCCATGAGATAATACAATAAATGAGCCATTTCGTCTACAAACTGTATTTACTAAACTTAAAATCTTTTATATTTTGTATAAACTGGATTATTTAAAAGACAGACTCTTGGATCATCTGGTCTCATAATCATATATACAGATTTGAACTCCTTATTATCTCCATTTCTTTGTTCATAGTTATAGACTCCAACAATACCAAGAACAATTCCGATCGCAGCCATACAACTTGAACCCATAATCTCTGGAATTTCCCACCAACCTCGCCTGATCAATCCTGATAAAGTATTAGCGAACTTAATTTGATGACCAATTGTCTTAGGCATCGGCATATTGGACGTTTACAGAATAAAATTTTATGTCGATTTAAAATATTGGGTCTATCGCCTTGTCAAATTAATTGTATTTGTCAAATTCTAGTAACAATTTACTTTTCTTTACTATCTCTTGTACTGGTTATAAACATACAAGTTCAGCTGCAAATGTATAAAAACCGTCGTCTATAGCTTAGTTATTGTTACATTTTATTCGCGCCAGCTTGCTTAAAATTACTGGTCAAATCTCAAGATTTATTGTTTTTAAGTTGTTTTGTCGAAAAAAATGGCTAAAAGACTTACAGCCAACTGTTAATTAAAATCAAAAGGACCAAGCTGTTAATTTTACTGTCACATATGACAGTGTGTGTCAACTGTCAACTAGCTGACATTTGAAATAGTAAGAAGTATCAAAACCAAGACAAAACCTCATCGAAGAGAAGAAAATCCCATTTTTTACGCCCCAATTTGGTAGCAAAATTTGTATACGGCTTCACAAATGGCTGCTCCGGCCACAAGAAGAACAATTGGACAACTTTTCCAACAAGGTTGGCATGAAATTCCAGAAGTGATGGCATCCACAGGCCTTGCTATCGTTGGTATTGGCTTAGGATGTTTAGGTGTTTATAATTACAATAAAAGGGATGGAGATAACAAAAGATACAAACAGGTTTATTTAATCATGAGACCTGACGACCCTAGAGTAGCGAAAATTCGCAAGGATTAAAAAAGAACAGAGCAGAATCGTGAAATTAGTGGCAATTATGTAATAAACTTGGTTATATTATGATTTGTTTTATTATTTACTTGTGTCATTGTAACTTCTGTGCACGGCTAGTAAGCAATGTTGTTTGTATTATTTAATAATAAATAGACCAATCAAGTATATCCAGAAAAATTACTTAAAAACTTTTGTCACACCCTCTAAACACTACAGTAACGTTTTATAAATACCTGTTGTTTAAGGATGTAAAGGAGATATAATATTAGATGAAAATGAAACAATACATATATTTATTTACTTGTATTTGAAGCATAACAAAACATTCATACATCTTAGTGGTCGGTGCTGCAAATATTTGAATATCAAATAAGCAACTACTTTGAAAAAAACCTTTATTACCAACTTAATTACTTCTTAAACATAATCAAACACCCATTAATTATATAAACTATAATAATGAAGAAATGTTTCAAATAAAAAACTTCCATGTTAAAAACCTTGTATTATTTTTTTGGTACTGAAAAACCATGTTTAAATAAAAAAGGTACATTAAATTATTTAACAACGTAAAAAACTATTGCTTTAATTCAAAAGTAAAAAGTGCTGCTTGCATAGATCTATTTAATTTAAAGGAATTGTCAGGGATGTATAGATCATACTTTGTTCAAACTAGAGTACTTAAAATTTCAATTATAAAATATGGTTTATGAACATGATCTTCAAAAAAGTAATAAATCACATCTTAGGAATAAAAAAAAAAATAGAATGAGATTCTAATTTTACTTTGTAAATCGTACACACATCAGTTTTAACTGTACATTTTGACTGTTCAGTTAAAACTGTAATTAGTGAGGTTTTAAAACATTAATACTGTATTTGTACCATTGGGCAAGGATTTGTAGGAAACATTTTTATGCAATTTAATATCATTTAGGGCATGTCCCACCACTGGCTGATAGAGGCTCAGATAGCTTAAACATTACGGCACTAGACACAAAATCGGATATTTTCATCACATATTTTACATGTTGGACTGTTATCAGAGAATATACAAGAATTTGGTATTGGCATTCAAGTAGTACATTGTAGTTAGTAAAATTATTTCTTTTTCTTTTTTTCTTTACTTGAGCTCGGTTTATCTTTAGGTGTTGCTTTATCTGTATTGACTTTCTTTTTCTGTAAAATCAAGTAAATTGGATATTAATAATAGTACAAGATGCTTTAAAATAGCTTGTACTTGGAACACATTCTGTAAGGTATAATTTTTTTTAACAAAAATCTCGGCAGCTCAAGGTTCGGCAGTCTATTTTTTGTCTAAAATTGCCGTTTTAGTTCATTTTAGTCTACTTTTAGTTTAGAAAGAGGATTTGATGCAGGAGAAGCAGTGGAAGAGGAGACATCATCTTTACATATATCTCTTCCTCCATCAATTTAAGGTAGGCAATGCATCTGCAACTGCGGATGTCTGTAGATTGTGGTCGCTTCGATTTTTCATCGAATTCGGCCGTCAGAAGGGTACGTAGACAGGTAGATTTATCACATGTAAACCTTGAGCTGATATGTAGATTAAAAAAAAACAAAAGTTAGTAGCCTATGTGTTTTTCCAGACTGTCCTCTACATCTATACAAAATTTCATCAAAATCCGTTCTGCCATTTAGGCTACAAACTCTAACAAACATCCATCCATCCATCTCAACTTTCGCATTTATAATATTAGTATGATTACCTTGATCATAGCGTCGTTCTCCGGGTCGCTATCTTCCTGTACATCAGGGATATCCTCGTCCTGCTCTAACTCGTGTTCGTCGTCCTTGTTGCGCGCGCGCCGCACGCCGCCCGCCGCGTACGGCAGCGCGCCCGCTCGCTTGTTGTAGAGACGGGTCATTGATGCCTTCACCTACATCATTGACATTCGTTACACCAATGTTCTGGCAATAAAAAATTGTTCATGCCTTGTCTATATATTTTTTAAATGTCCATGAGGTGTACATATAAGAAATATGTGAGAATGTCGTTTTTTTTTTCTCTTGTGTGAATAAATAAATTAATAATCGTTAATGAAAAAAATTTTGGACAGTGTAAAATATAAATTTAAATGATGCATTTTAATACATTCATAAACAAGGATCCTAAGCAGAAGAAAATTAAACAAAAATGCTTAACTGTCACTACTGTAAATTAGCGCCAATCGCAGAAGTAGTTTTCAAAATTTCGAAATTAAAAAAAAATGTTGAAATAACTTATAGCCGAATACTGTAACGTTAAGTTAATTTACAAATTCAACAGGATCAGGGTGAATAACTTTATCAGCTAGTGCAATCTGTGTAAGTGAAATATAATTTAATTTACTTTAGAATCAATCAATATCATAGGATTCCGTTGCCCGGGCCACAGAGACAGTTCTATGAGTGAGTCCAAATCCTCCCTCAGAAGGTGGTAAGACTCCAGGATGTCAAGGGACTGCTGGATGCCGTCAGCCTTATGCGTCAGCAGCGGCCCCACCACCGCCTCGCGCAGGTGACTAGCGTAGTCCAGGAATATTGAAGACTTGGAACCGGAGGTGCTGAAATATACAAAATAATGAAATCACCAAATTTAAACTCTGATAAAGAAACCGATTAGTTTCGAGAATCCATCTTCAGGACAATGATCATCAGAAGTAAGCCTTTGTTAGCTGTTCTTAATTTTTTTTGATAATATCTCACGTAGATTTAACAAATTTATTATTTCGTATTTTTATCTAGAGACTTTGGTTTTGTGACCGATTCTTGCAGGCTTTGTTCATTTAGTCGACATTTTTATAAAGTAAGATGGTTATTATTTTTTGGAAAGTAGAGATAATTTTCAAACGTATTTGATATTTTTAGAATCCAGTTTCACCTGAGCCTGGTGTGCGCGTGTATCTCCTGCGCGAGGCGGCGCAGCTTGCCGGCGCGCGAGTTCTTCCCGAGCCAGCCGGGGAACTGGATCTGCGCCGCCACGTGCCCCGCCATCGCCTGCCCCGGGATCACGGAGCTGTACATCGCCTGACAACATTACAACACTCATTAATCATCATCTCATAAAAAAAAATCACCCCTAACTAATTCCAAATTCGGACACACTGGAAACTTTTTTTGAAAATTAATCCCTTAGGAATATATGTCAGGGGAGCGACGAGTGCGGCAGGAGCAAAAAAAAAACACCTCCTACCCCCTTAGGGTACACTGGGTTTTTGTCTTCCAAATAACTCTATCATGCATCTTCTCAGTCATCACACCTTTCTTGATCATGTCACCTTTCACGCAATACATCCATCTCTTCCCACTCCTTTACCGGCGTACCACACTCATAACTAACATTTTCTTTGTTACATGCGATTCATTCCCCATAACATATCCATACCATGCTAACTACACCAGATAAGACAGAGCAGTACTACCATTTGCTGTATGAACTCACATTATTGTCAAAACATTAGAGCACCCTTAGTCAAAAATACATTTAGTTAGCAATAACGATTCTCGACAAGTCAGTCGACGTCGCCGAGTCGAGTTTCCCGTTGGGCTGATCAGTCTATAGATCAAACGACCCAACGGGATATATACACAATTACTTTAGAAACATCTCGTTTACTGTTAATGATATCGACCATCAAAAATAGTATAAAAAAACAACAATAATTTGTTTGCTACAAGAGAACTGTATTTGAATATTTATCAGCTCATTATTTATCTGAAAATGAATTATTTAAAAATGGCACACCTGTATAGGCAGCAAGTTCCAAGCCTGACTGCCTCGTATCCTCGCCTCCACCAGGTCGCCCAGGCTGATGCTGTCCGCGGCCATGCTCACACGGTCCAACACCGCCTCCCTGCTCATTCGTATTAAGTAAATATATACACATGAGCACATCCTATGTGTTATTTTTGACAAAAAATTACATTTCAAACTGTTACCTCATTATTAATCTATCATATTTTTTTTTTCTAATTCTTTTTTATATTTCATCTACACTATTATAAGAATCCACTAGACCAATAAAAAAAAATTGTTCAAGGTAATCTCTCAAACGGCTGCGCTGATTTTAACGGACTTTGGAAGGTAGCTGACGAACTTTTTTATTTCGCGCTAAAGATGTTTACGGGTTATTCGTATCATAAAAAATAAATAATATGTTACTTGGGACAGTGTGGTGTGACTTGTAAGTAGTTTTCTTGCACAAAGAGCGGCGCGAGGCTGTAGTCGTAGAAGAACAGATCAGATCTCTCATTGATTGACATCTTCTTATGTTCAGACTCTGAAAACACCTTCCTTACAGCTTCCCACGGACCCTGAGAAGATATAAAACATATTTATGTAAATATATTATTTATATGAATATTCAATACACTCCGAAATGTTAAAAAAATATAAGAATCCATCAGATTTTTTATATTTCTCAGTTAATTTTAATATTGTACACAATGTAGAATTTTAAAGAATATATTTTTTACAGATATTACAAAATGTGATTTTTTTAAACGTGGAATTGATTTTATTGCATGCAGAAAATAATAAAAAAAACCCATTTAAAGCATGGATTTTTGTATTTCTCGTATAATTTAATTTTCGATTCCCGATAAATAAAAAAGATTCAAATACATAGAGGAGGCATAGTTGATACTTGCAACATTTTTCACATATAACCATCACAAACATAGATGATGAAAACAAAGTGTACAAACATTGACAACTGATATGAATAAATTTTGTTCACTATGCCTCGTCTATATATTATTCAAATGTCTTTGTGATGAATAAATGAATTACCAATTTGACATCTTTCTTGATGTTTTTAGCATCATTCTTGAGTCGTTCAGTGTCAGCGAGGTTGGAGTCGGCAGCCCATATGGAGAGCAGATGCAAAGTCTGGCGGACATCCTGGCCGGACGCCACGATCAACTGCGACAGCGCATCGCCAGATATCTTGACCTTCTCTTTGTAACACGTCGACAATAACGCTGACTGAAAAATAATAATTAATTTCAGTTTTTCTTGTTGTACTATAAAATGTGTTAAATCATGCTCATAATATCTATTCTAATATAAGTTTGTATTCATGTATGTAATTAATTTAAAAACCAATGGACAGATAACGAAATTTCTTTCATCATTAGAATGGTACATTAATAGTAACATTAGGCTATGTTTATAAATATTTTTACAAGGACAAAGACGTGAGCGAAAGCTAGTTATAAATTGTTACCTAAAATATTATGTTAAATAGCAGTTTGAGACAGCGCAAAATAATTCTCATACGACATTACATTTATTTCGGTCTACTTCTAATGATAATATTAATATTTTGTGGGTTTTATTGACATAAGCAAACATAAAGGTGCTATTGAAATTTATAAAGAGAGCTGTTTCTCGCGAGTTCGTCTAAGTGGAATAAGAAAATATAACCTAAGTCACTGATAACATAGCTTTTAATGGTGAAAGAATTTTTGAAGTCGGTCCAGTAGTTTTTGAGTTATTTCGATACATACTAAAATCCAAAAATACAAATTTTTCCTCTCTACATTATCGATTATATATATTATATTATACTAGCTTTGGCCCGCGACTCCGTTCGCGTGAAATTAAAAAAAAAACAAAAGTGTTCTTGCAGACTATTCTCTACATCTATACCAAATTTCATCAAAATCCGTTCCGCCGTTTAGGCTACAAACTCTAACAAACATCCATCCATCCATCCATCTATCTAAACTTTCGCATTTATAATATTAGTGTGAAGTATGATAGTTTGTATGGAAACTCAAATACCTTAATCTGAGCGACTGTGGGTCTGTTGAACCTCAGGTCATAGCAATAATTAACCAGCGAACGCATCTTCTGGCTATTTCTATCATTGCACATGCAGATGATCGGCACTGAACTTGACTTTATTAAACCAATTAATTCCTGTAGACCACCTATATACAATAATACACATCAAATCGGCTTATGTTTACCTAACTGAATTTACCTAACCAGTCAGGTAATACGAATTTTTTTTCCGTTTTCCTAACCAGTCAAGTTTTTTTGCTAGGGTGGGTACACTTTGCTAGTTTCATGCCATCAATCATATGTTAAAAGGATCAGTTATCGATTTCAAAACCACATAGTAGGCGCAATTTAATATCGATCTAATTGATATTTTACGTTTGTTCGCGATTTTTATTATTCCAGTCCTACTACCTACTACTTTATTTTTTAACATAAGGCGACCAAAGTTGGGCCTTCGGCACGCAAAAATGCAATTAATAATAATAATAATAGTAATAGATGGCACGGAAAATAGAAAAGTATTTGCACCCTACCCGGTTACGAAATCGGAAAAAAAAATCTTGTTACCTAACTGGTTAGGTAAACGGAACAAGCCATCAAATCACTTTGATGTCAGTTGAAAGTTTGAAGTCACGAAATTAAAAAAAAAAATAGAACAGGCTATAAAATGCTAGTCCAAATAATAAAATTATTATCTATTAGTTATTTTGATAGACTTACCTCGGTCTTCATTACCAGCCATACCATCAACTTCATCCATTACTAAAACATGTTTTTTTGATATGGCTTGTTTACTTGTATCACCTGTAATATACCATAACTATATTTATTACATTTTCATAACAAAATCTGTGCTTGACAACTTTTACCACTTAAAAGCTTAAATAAAATTCATTAAAAGAACAGTAACTATAATTAAGAATAGTAATTTATCTGTTAGTAACATAGGCTATCTTATTTCACGCAGACGAATCTATATTAACATTATAAAGAGAAAAGATTTGTATCTTTGCATGTATTGAAATAACTCAAAAACTACTGGGCCGATTTAAAAAAATCTTTCACCATTAAAAAGTTACATTATCAGTGCGTAACATAGGCTACATTTTGTAATTTCACGAACGACGTCGCGAGCAACAGCTAGTATTTAAAATTCATTCAATTCTGAACACAATTCATCACCAGCTCACTATATGTCCCCACCGAGGGGCTCGGACCTAAGTTTGGCTGATTAGGCCATAGTCAACCATGATAGTCAAGTGAACATTACATACCTCTGGCATATCCTGATAATGTAGTTGTAGTGAGTAATTCACCGATCTGTTCCTTTATTAATGTTTTATTCCTTGTATCCGATGCATTGAACTCCACCATATCAAAGCCTAATTCTTTGCATACCAACGACACTGTTGTTGTTTTACCTTCAAACAAAATACAATTCATACTAAAGCCTTAGGACCTGTCCCGCCACTGGCTGATAGCTCAGATAGCTTAAAAGTGTCACTGTCAGATAAGGTAACAAAATCTGATATTTCCATATTTCACATGTTGCATTGTTATTAGGCAATTTACAATTTGGTAGGCCCTTAATATTTTCATCATATTTAAACGGCATATTTTGTAATTTTCGGTAATTTGGATTCTTGGATGATTGAATTTATATATGCATGAGTTAAAAACATAGAACTAAAGTGTGTAACTGTTTTTATTTAAATAATAAGCGCCAATAGCTTAATGGGTTGGTGATCTTGCGGTCGAGAGTTCGACAATTGTCGTGAAACATATCCTAGCCTTAGTTGGATTGGTTAAAGGAAATATTAGTACATTAACAAAAATCTAATTATACTAAAAAAAAAACACTAGGCATTACTCACCAACACCAGGAGGTCCGGACAGTAAGGCAGCTTTATAATATCCACCATCATCATTCTTAGCCCATGGATTTGGCTTTGGAAGTTTAGCTTTTCTATTGGTATACCATTTTGTCAACCAATTTGTTAACCTGTGTTATTTACATTAAGAAGTAGTAGTCAGAGTCTAGACCCTAAGGGAACCCATTATTTAACATATAATATGAGAAATAGATACTAAAACTCTCAAGACATATTTCGTAGTACCTATGCAATAATTAAAATGAAAGTGTCTGAATGTAATAATAAAAAACTTCAAAATTCAAAATTTCGCGATGATGTTTTGTGCTGATGATAACGAAAATTTTTTGTCTGTCCGCAAGTCGGTTCCCGGTAATCTTCAAAATAGCTGGGCCGATTTTAACAGTACTTTATTGGGAAGGTAGTTGATGGAGAGAATTTTAAAGACAACCTTTTTACCCCTTTATAAAACGGTTCTAGTAAACAAGGGGATAAACTTTACTAGGCTAGATTTCTACGCTAAAGAAGTTTGCGGGCGACGGCTCGTAAAATGAATAAAATTGGTGTGTATTGGTAAAAAAAATTATAGGCATATAATGTTTTTCCATTATTTATGACCTTGTCCAAGGTTTTTAAAAAAATTGCCAAAAATTGGGTACTTTTGTATAAAAACTCACTTTGTAACATTACTATTAGGGCCATGTTGACCTATAATTTGTTTAACACTCTCTGGTTTGTATTTGTCGACCCACAACATGGTGTTCACTGTCTGTGCTCCGGATTTGAAAACTGCAAAACATGTATTTTAATTAAATACTATAAATAACAATTATGTTGAATTAAGTCTGTTTCCACTGGTTAAAAAACTGAATAATTTATTTTTCAAATGTACAAGTCTCCACATCTTTGTCTTTGGAAGTAAAGAAATGTGTTTTTTTTTTTACTTTTCTTATTGAGGTGCAGGAAAGTATATTGTTTTGTGTTCCTTTGTACAATTTGTTGTACATACAGGGATGTTGTGTGAGTTTACACTCAATGAGGATTTATATGTGCATATATCAGTATAAAACCACATTACAACATGAAAATAAAAAAAAACATACCAGTACTGCTTGTTTCTGGTTTCTCTATATCTTTATTAGAATTTTCTTTTTGATCCGTTGTTCCTTCAGATTTACTTTTACTCATACTATAACTTGTATCCATTTTTTCTATTTTCGTTTCTGTCTTTATTTCACTTTTAGATTTAATTTTTATTTCTTTCACATCTTTTTTAGTATGCTTTGCTTTTTTATCTGTAGGCGACTTGGATTTTTCTTTTTTGGGTTCCTCCTTTACTGTAATTTTATTTTTGTTAGATAAATCTATAATCATTTGTAAGAAGTCATCTTCATTGATTATTTTGATTCCCAATTCTTCAGCTTTAGCCAGCTTTGCTGGCCCTGGATCCTCGCCTGCAAGGACATGAGTTACCTGGAATTGACAACTTTTTCCATTAAATATCCTATTGATTTTATTCCACTTATTGCATAGTCACTTGTCTGTTAAAATATTAACAAGGAGTATAAATTAAAATCAATGGGACTGCTTTTTTTTTATAATATAAGGTGGCAAACCAGCAAGCGGCCACCTGAATCCACCTAAATGGAAAGCGATTGCAGATGCGTTGCCTACCTTTAATTGACGTAGGAGGAGACGCACATAAAGAGGACATTTCCCCTTCCTATGCGTCCTCCACCGTCAAATCCACTTTTCCTTCCCACCCTTCCCTCTTAAGAAAAGGATGGAGAGGGAAAGGGACTAAAATTAATGCTTTAAGTAAAACATGAGAAATAAAATTATGTTCTTTTTTTATTTTTGTGACTGAATGGCCACTGTTTGCTTTGAAGAGGCATTTACAGATTCACCGGGCTTGAGGTGGCCGAGCGCAGATGGCGCTTAGCCTAAACCTCGTTTATGAGTAACTAAGCTTGAGGGCTCCCTCAAGAGGAGAGAAGAGGATCGGGAGGCCACCAAGCTCTTAGATCGCTTTGGTGGAACTGCGACACACACAATAATTATGATTTACCTTTTTTGTTACTGCACTTTTAACACATCCTCCAAAACTATTAATTGCTTTTGTAATTTCTTCTTTTTCAAACGAATCCAGTACTCCAGTTAGAATAAAGGCACAATCTTTCAAACAGTCTGGTGTACCCTGCAAAACAATGATTTTTTTTGGACTATGATGTTTTACAACTTTGTGGAATAATCAAGTTAATAATAAGGAAAGTTTAAAAAAACTAGTAAATCTCCTCCTATACCTTTGGAATTTCTTTTTCACCTAAATGTTTAGGCCCAGATCTATTTAAATAAATCTTGTAGAGTGCGGCAGACATGATTTTCCTCTCATGTCTTTCTTCATCTGTTAATACTAAAATATGTTCCAACATTATTTACTGTTTAAGATTATAATAAAAAAATGATTATAATAATTGTTTTTTTACCAGATTCATTAAGACTTTTATTCATTTTTCGTTTTTTGCCGTTAGGAACTTCATCTATCTGACTATTTTCTATGAATTCACTGAAATCTGCCTCTTTTCGTTCAACACTATTCATTTTAACATCAGAAACATGTTTATCATTACTGTGTGAATCTTTTTCAAAACCTTTCTTTGTCTCCTTTGATTTCTCATTTCTTTTCTCCAGTTTAAGACTATGTTCTTTTTTTGCAGGGCTTTTTTTCGTTTTTGTTCCATCATCTTTAACTTTTTTATTTATAAATTCAATTGTTTCTGTTTCATTTGTTTCTTTATTGTCATTATTTGCCTTCTTTGTAATTACTGATTCTTCAATTTGATCCAGTTCCATCAAACTCTTTTCAAACTCGTCATCTGAATGAATTCCAGTTTCGGTCTTTTTATTTTTCTTAACTAATGGTTCACTTCGTTTTATCGATGTATTGGCAAATAGATCAATAGGTTTAACCTCTTTTAATGTGTTATGACTAGCCTTCTTTTGTTTTCTTTTACTCAAATCCTCTTTGGTTCCTTTCTTTTGAATTTTCTTCTGCTGAAGCTCTTCATCGGAATCATCTGAAATTGCTCTCTTTCTTCTTGATTTCTTCTCCTAAAAATACACAGTTTGAAATAATTACATACTTTTAACATACAGAAGTTGTTTATATTTACTTAAATCTTTTTAATACACAAATTTAATAAATAGGAAGTAAGTACCTTTTTGATCTCCATTTGCGGTGACTCCGGTATAACATCACTATCATCATCTTTCACAACTGTTTTTGATTTAAAAAATGAACGAATATCCTGAAAATATTTTAACTTGTGTCTAGATGTTTTTTTTGTTACAGTAAAAGCCATTGTAAGTATCACATAAATAATACAAACTCGAAAAACTACAAAACAATAGTTTTGCGATAAAAAGTATATCCAAGTACAAAATGCAACTATCATTTCTATAAAGTTTAGTTCACAATTATCAGTTTTATTTAAAACACTAATGTTTTATTTACATGAACATAATAAAACATAACTTCAATGTACCAAAGCTATAAACAATTTACATCTTGTTATACCATTTTATATTTGCTTTACAACAGTCAAATGAATAACTATTGATCGATTTTCCCTTTATGACCAGACTAGTTTTCACCCACATAGCATTAAAAAAAACAAAAGCGAGTAGCCTATGTGTTCTCATCATAATATTCTCTACATCTATACCAAATTTGTTCGAAATCCGTTCAGCCATTTAGGCTACAAACTCTAACAAACATCCATCCATCTTAACTTTCGCATTTATAATATTAGTATGAAGTATGATTGAGTAAGAATGTAATTTAATTTACACAATGCCACCACCACCTTAACATAAAGATAATATTCTTATCTACTATTTTATCAGTCTCTGACTATATTTGAAGTTTAATGATAAATTGTGAATGCATATCATAAGGGCTATCAGCCATAAACTGAGTTCACTTTGGTCGAGTTTTTACCTAACATTCCCTTTAGGTATATCTATATTCATATGTTTTCTTGTTAATCCAATATAAATAAATTTGTCAAGTTTTATGTATTTTTTCAACAAATATTAAGAAGAAAGTATAACAAATGAAATAAGTAAAATTAAATGACTGTAAGGTTAATTGGTAAATCTTCATTAATTAATTAATTTAATAACTCAATATTAAGACTTCTTGAAGTCAACTAAGGTGGTCATTTATGGTAGTGTTCATATCCCAAGTCATCTCTTAACAAAACAATTATTAAATATTAATTAGTGTAATGCTTGTTTTATAAATTCTGGACAAGCTTAAAATGTAACTATTAATATTTTTATAAACCTTTATTAAGTCTTTAAAACGATTCAAAAGTATTTGTAAACACACTAACATAACCTATTAAATAAGATATTTTGATACGTTTTTCGACTGAGTCCAAAATCTTTTTGTCTGCTTCAGTTTATCAGATTTCTATTGGTCTCTTGTATGTATCAACATTAGCGATAAATATTAGGACAAAAGGGACTACTTTTATTCTTGTAAGATAATTAGACGCAATTAATTTTATTTGATACTCTATATTTATCTAATTGTGGGATTAATGTGTGAATGTGGCTGAATTATTATTTTTATTGCGAAGAAAGAAAATGAGAAGTTTAAATTAGCTTACCCTAGACATTATTTTATTTTATTGCGATGTATAAAACCATGAAATAAAAACGAATTTCTATAATTTCATACTTCAATTATCGTTGTCTGTTAAATTAAATTTATAACGATTACAACATTAGCACTTTATCTAAATAAAACATAATAATAACTTCTCGTAATAAGCGTTCAGAATTTTAAATATTGAAACTATAACGCTTATAACAGGGATATTGTGGAACCTTTTTGACATTGACAAGAGGGCGCCTCTGAGCATTTAGGGCTATCAGCAAAGTAATATATCAACAATAAAGGGAAATTCGTCCGTTTTGAAAACAAACCCCAAAAACTAAAGGAAGTATCTGTATTTTAAAATATAACAGGGAAATGCTCTTGACTTCGTTTGTCGGGGTGAAGACTCTATAATTAAAGAACTTTTGTAGCAAATTTTAGCAATACTCTCGGTTTAGACAGTAAGGGGAGGAATAGCCTTAACATTATATATTGTAAATTGTGTAACTAAGTGCTTATCTACTTTAGAGAATAATAGAAATGTTAATGATTGTTTCATGTTTGCAATAAACGCACAGTACAAACTTTGTCGAATGCCCGGTGCAGTAGTACAAACGGTGCGTTATAAAATCATCAGACAGCCAGTTTCTTATTATATTTCTGAGTATACACAGTAGTTCCCTTGTTACACGTTTACGTTAAGAACTAAAATCCTTGTTAATTTTATGAAATGAAGTTGCAGTTGCACAAAACACGTTGCAACTATGGGTTCGGTCACTGTAATTTGAAATGAATAGAAGTAATATGTACAATTACTAGGTAAAGGCTTTCATTATTTGTTTGAAATTCGGCACAAATTCGGACACCTAAACTGACAACACCACAAGACATCGCCGACTCGGACTTTAATGGCGGAGTTTTTGAAACCCGTGGTTTTTAAAGAATTTTTGTTAAAATGGTGAGAACTTGTATCGTGGAGGCTTGCGGAAGGGAGTATTATACTGATTGTGGTTTGTCTTTTCATAGGTAATAGTTTTAAACATAATTTGTTAGTGAAGAATTATCGCGACCATGCTTATCTATCCAATCCTAGGAATCCTAGTTCAAAAACAAATAACTTAAATACCTATTTTTTATTCCTTTCCCTTTTAAAATAACTTTGTTTCAATTTCAGATTTCCTAGAGATGCTAATGTTAAGGAAATGTGGATAAAAGTTATACCCATGAGCTCTACCAGAAAATTGACCAATGCCTCAGTTGTATGTAGCAAACATTTTAAAGATCAAGATTATGTTGCTGGTTTATCACGACCAGTATTAAAACATGATGCAGTTCCCTCCGTTTTTTTGCTAGTTAGTAATTTTGTAGCATTTTACGTCCGTTGGATTGCGAAACCAGAGTTGAAATAGTTTGATTTATTTATTTTGTATGGAAAATTTCTCAAAACCTGATGATTTACTCACACATTTCGAAAAACGTTACTCTTCATATTGATGAATTCATTATGAATTTCTATTGTAATATTTATATTTTAACTTCATATTGAAATCGATTATTTCGTGAGTAGCTTACAAATTTTACAATATTCGCATTCATAAGATGAACAAAGTATTTTATGTACTAACATATAGGTATCTTGAGGTAGGCCTAAGTATTGCTTTTTTAGCGATGTTGGCGACCACCGTGGGGAAGTGGAAGAAATTCCGCGTTTCGTCTGACGAGTGTGGTGCCGGAGGCCTGATTTAGTCACTTTACCTTTCCACCTTTTTATTGAGAGGAAAGGATGGGAAGTAAGAGTGGATTGACGGTGGAGGAGACGCACAGGAAGGGGAAATGTACTCTTTATGTGTCTCCTCCTCCGTCAATATGGGTAGGCAACGTATCTGCAACTGCGGATGTTTATGGGCAGCGGTCGCTTTCTATTTCGGTGAATTCAGGTGGCCGCTTGCTCGTTTGCCTCCTTGTATTATAAAAAAAAAACCATGGGGATTTAGTCTGTGCGAGTTCGACATATTCCCAATCTTGGCCCCTTGGCATTTAACTACGTAAAAAAGGGTTCAGTATTCATCGTGATCATAAAAGTAAGTATACTTATCTGATCTGATGATTTCTGTTACAGCTAGCAATAAAGAAAATAAAAGTATTATGTGATATTCAAATACCATGTAGTAGCAAATCTGACAAGTTTGTGCTATCAGTAGAACCTCCATCTAAGAAACATTGTATTCAGCAGGAATTTATAAACCTACCGGCAGAGCCTCTGGCTAAGAAATTTTATCAAGTGGAACCTAAGAGCAACTTCAAATTGAAAAATGCCAGTATACAAACTGATATAAAAGATCCGTATAGTGAACTGCTAAAGCAAAAAATTAAAATTCTGATGCAGAAATTACATAGACGTGATATTCAAATAAAAAATCTACAAGATATCAAAAAAAGAAAATGTAGTAATTTCGATCAAGTCCAAACCGCGTTAAAGAATAATTTTCCAGATATAAAACATATTAACACAAGAGTAATAAAGGCATCAGATATAATGCCGAAATGAAACAATTCGCTCTCTCTTTGTATTACCATTCTGCCAAACCTTATAAATTTTTAAGGAATCACATTTTCTTACCACATCCAGCCAGTCTCCGAAAAATAGTAACCACCAACGAATGTAATGTTGATTTTATTAGTGAAGTATTAGAATTTATAAAATGTGTCGTTAAAGAATGATGATTAGTTTCGGAATGTAGCTCTAATTTCATGCGATGGCAAATCGCTCACTCATTACGTATCAGAAGAACAGTGACAAGCACTAAAGTTTCTTGACTTAGGACGCATTACATCAGCTGAGGCAGAAATACTAGCTACTAACTGATGATTATGAATTGACTTCTATACTCGAATTTAGGAACAAAAAGAGTGCTATTGTGGAAAATGTAATACGGATCAGTTGACATCAATAAATGATTCGTTGGACATCTTAGATAATGCCTGTGTTTCTGATTTTAAACAGATCTTTATTGTATTGCTGGATTTATCGTGAATCGGAACATTGACAGAATTTCTTGTACAAATTGTCTTGTGATTTTATTGGATCACAAAACCTTACATCACAACTACTGTGTCGACATATCACAATTTTCTGCATGCTTTATTGATCGAGGAAAACTTAAGCATGTTTCCAGATTTGTATTTGTAATTCTGAAGTACATTGAAAAACTGTTTATTATATTATCAAATCAATAATTAAAAACGTACATAATAATAAAATTATCATGTACGTTGTCCAAGAATTTTTATATCAAAGCACATACATTTTTAGATCCATCAAATTTTTCTCAATTTATAGTTGAAGATCGGCATGATATTCAATTGGTGAAGGCGTTTGCGAATTCCTAACTCGGTCTACGTTTATCTTCTAATGCAAAATAAGAATCAACTAAAAATATATGGAACGAGCTAAGTCTGGGGACACGAATTTCAGAAGGCAGCTTTAGTTAGTTAATAAGATTAAGCATTAAACTTAGATGTAAACTTAATTGTTTTGTTCTTCTCAATTAATAAAATTTACTAAATTGGGTAACTTAGCGTAATTTTATCTTAATCTAGCCACTTGTCGTGTCCCACAAGAACCATTACATAAGAACCTATATAACGCGAGTATGAAAAATAAACAAAAACGGGAAATGTATAGTGCCGCATAGGGCGAGTTTATCATTAGCACCTTTGATTAAAATCCATCTGGAACAATGATCTGTGTCGTCAGGTCACGAATATTTTATTATAATTATCATAGTTTCAATATGGCCTCCATCGCCTGAGAGGGATAAAAGGTACAGTTATGGGAGCTCTCGCTTGGCATCAATTTTGCAACTTTAGCTCATTCCTGTGGTACGTAGTATAGCTCTTTTGGCTCCCGGTAATTTTGTGAAAATATGTGTCAATTGAATATCATGGTAAAAGTGACATAGCTTGTCAGAGCACTGCCAAAAATTTGCTACAGAAGTTAAGAAGAATTATAGAGTCTTCTCCCCGACAAACGAAGTCAAGAGCATTTCCTAGTTACATTTTAAGCATCAAGAGTCCGTGCAGAATTTGTATTTTTGTATTTAAATCAGAAAAAAATCCCTTGAATGTGGAAATATTACCTAGCTGGTAACCTTAAATGAACAGAGGTGCCCCCTTGTCAATGTCAAAAAGGTGCCAATATATCCTTGTGGCACTATACATAGATCTGTTAAAGGAATCATTATACAGACTAGAAATATTGGACGACTGAAAAATCCGTGAAAAGAAAACATACTTAAAAAATGATAGGGTAGAATATGATCGATTATCACGTATGAGCAGGTACTTGTCGACTATTCTAAGACAAAAACATAAAACCATACAACTTTTTAGATTTTAGCAAGTGTTTTTACTTTTGCCTGCTTTTATGACGTTCTTCATTTTTATGACACACATTTGTCAGCCTTATTTTCGTACTATAACAAATTTATTATCACATATTTCTGTATGATTTACATGTTATTATTATTTATATTTACTCAGGTGGCATGTGCTCCTATGTCACATGTTGGGTCGGCAATTTTTTACAACAAATTAAATAAAAACGAATGTTGGAGCGAGGATGATTTGGCCAAATTACGGGCGAGAAGGATTTTTGAATTGGCCATGCCACCCAGTGTAAATCCAGAAAAAATGAACGGTAGGTATTTAAGGGAGATGCAAAAGTACTTTCGTCAAGCTCTTCGTAATGTTGGTAAAGAAACAAACTCTCACTGTGCCGCTCTTCTGAAGGCAGCTCTCGCCGACACCATCGGCGCTCATTTGACCAAAGAAATTTTGCCTACTGCTAGATTTTCATATTACGCTGGTTACGTACCTTATAGAGATGTCAGAGAATTACATAACTTTCTAGAACAAATCAAGTTACTTTTGAATACCCAAGGTTTAGGTTGGGCTAGACCGGATCGTATTCCGCAGTGGTCCAATTTAACCGTCGTTAAGGTTTTTGTTAGACACGGAAAACTCTTAAATCCGTGTTCGGGTTTGGTCATGAAGAGAGATGTAAACTCCTGCATCCACATCCCGGTTCCCAAGCTGGACGACAAGGAAGAACCGTCAGCGATCGCTCTGCCTTTTAAATCAGGAGGTATGGTCAGTTTGTCTTCGCCGCGATCAGAAAACATTCTGCTCAAGTACTACACGACAGCGACGAGATGTATTTTACACCATTCCCCGATCACATGTCGGCACGTCGACTTCTTAAATTTTAATAATGATATGTGGCATTGGATGCAAAATGACGTGGCACCGCATCTCGCAGATGAAAGACTTTACTCAGCTTTTGGAGGAGTGTTACGAATAGCCGCCGCGGTGCAAAGCTACGGCAAAGGCTTGTCACGTCGCAACCTATACGAAAACGAAGAGCGAGTGGTCTCCAGATGGCATCCCTGGAAGGGCCTAAGTGAGACGTATGTTTACATGGACCCAGATTGGACTCCAAAACTATATGTCATTCTAGTAATATTAGCCGCTGCCGTTATTTGTCTGTCACAAATTTGTTACACTTTTTTACTTGGTAAAAGTAATGGGTGTCATTGTACAGAGCGTCAGCAAAAATATCAAAATATAATGGCTTTTACAAAGGATGAACTCGTTAATCCCGCAGTTTTGCGTTCTCAACACAGCTCGTTATTTTATAGTCAGCGCGCGCGTCTAAGGCGTTTGCCGGCAAAAACGAAAATATCTTCTCGCAATTCAATAAGGACAGAAAAGATTTACGATCTCCACGATAATACAGAGACGATGGCGGTTATCATGAGCGATAATGAAGAAACGAGCGAAGAAGATTCCTTACCGGTTGTTAACCAGGAAGGCAGTGGCGAAAACGTTGCAGCGATTCGATCAAAAAGCCCGCCAAAAATAGAAACGTCCATATCTGAAGTGAAAATAGTTAAACGAACTAGACCGAAACGAGGGCAAATGTACTCTACAAGCACAAACTCTCATTCAGAGTTGACTTACTGTCGCGAGCATCGGGACACGGGCTCGCCGTGGTCGGGCAGCTCTACGTCGGAACAGTCAATTACATCGGATAGTTCCAAATCTCACGGACGCAAATCGAGGAACTCGCGTGACCTGGCGTGGGCGCGCCGCGTCGCCTCTAAAGCGTCACAGGCCAAGTCGACGACGTCCGGAACAGAGCTGGACGTCAATTCGTTCACCACACCCCCATCGAAGCATTGACCGTTATTTTTAAAACGTAATTGTTAGAATCTTGATAGGAATATTAACTTTGTGAATAGAGTTTTAGCTGCAAGTATTACTATTTAAGATATATGTTGTTTAAGATGCATTTAATTTTTATGGGATAAATACTATATTTTAATTACTTACGTCTTTTTCATTATTCGTGATTGTAATTAAAATAGTTCCAATTCAATTATTTGCATAATTAGCATGAAGTTGCATGTTAATGTTTGTATACTATAGAAATTATTAACAGCGCTATCTCTCGCTATATTTCTGTATTACGTTACTCACAGATAGAGGGCGCTGTTTTTAAATTATATGGATTTTTGCAAAATAAAGGATTTTTTTGCAAGATGACGCAAAGATCCATCGGGCAGAAACAAAAAACAAACTCATTTAAATCATGTAATTTATTAGGGTTTATATTAATACAAACGTTCGTAAATCTTGAATAATACTAAACAATAAACATTTTAAGGCTAAATTAACCATCCCATAAGGCATTAACATAAATACTATCAAATAAATATGAATATCACATAGTAATAAAATTTGTACCTCGCATATGACATTTTAATCCTTACACTATACATATAAAATAATGGAATATTTATAATATCATAAAATTTCAATCACAGTAAAAATACGGTTAACATATCTTATAATATGAAATATTTAATACATATATGTCGCTTAAATCATCACCATCATCATCATCTTTGTCCTTATCCTACTCCCGTAGGTTCGGCGCAGCAGGTTTTTAACATTACATTAATGTATCGTCCACAGGATAACTTATCTTCTACACAGAAAAAGGACTTGTACTTAATTTAGGGCCCCTGTACATTAGACTTTTTTTTTATAACATAAGGTGGCAAACGAGCAAACGGCCACCTGAACTCGCCAAAATGGCGAAGCGACCGCTGCCCATAGACATCCGCAATTGCAGATGCGTTGCCTACCCTTATCTAACGGAGGAGGAGAAGCACATAAAGAGGATATTTCCCCTTCCTATGCATCTCCTCCACTGTCAAATTTACTTCCTCTTCCCAACCTCTCTTTATTGTTTTATTTTTTATAACATAAGAAAAGGGTGGTAAAGAGAAAGGGACTTAAATTAGGCCTCCGGCACCACACTCATCAGACGAAACACGGAATTATTTCCATTTCACGCCTGTCTTGTGTGGTCGTGGTATTACTGGGGGCGAGCCGGCCCTGCAGTGCTAACATGTTAAAGCAGGCACTACCACTGTTAAAACTATCCGTTGATTTAGGCATTTAATTATGATCATGTATGGAAGTCTGTACACGGACTCTTATACATCATATTTTAATATAAGAATAAATAAATTTGTCTAGATTTAAGGCGAGGCCACACTTGTGTGCACGCTTTGTCACTTGTACTCTATTCTAGTTCATCATACAAGAAAATATATATGTTAGCATTTGTATTTATGAAATTGAATTATTTTTATTAACAACCGTGTGATTAGTTTAAAAGGCAGATAAATCTTACTATTAAGGCATCTTGTTTATTTAAGTCCAATATTTTGGTTAACTTATTATTTTTTTACTAAGACGAAGTGTAGTGTCATGTCATGCTACTAAAAGTAAGAATTGAATTAATAAAAAATCGGAAAAGCAGTGCCGGATCTAGTTCTAGAGCCTTGGATGGAAATCTACGTCGCCCTGGGCGGAAATCTACGTCGCCCTGGGCGGTTGGCGCCCCTAATGTTGAAGAGTATATGATTTGATGTTTTCAGCTAGCTAATCTTATATCACATGTGGTGTTAGTATAGTTGTAATATGGACCTAATTTCGTATACATTAGGGGTCATTTCCGTATGTTCCTGTACTGTCTGTCACGCCACTTGCGGTGCATATGCTTCACCACGTAGAGGGGTAGACAGGACACTAAAGTGATGGTCGTCACCTTCCACCAGAAGTCCCAGTGACGGATGAAGTCCGCGTCTGAAATATATAGCTGTTACTAACTTACTCATACACAAAAAGGGTTGGCAGAGGTTACGGAATATTTAACTGTTACTATTTAATTGCTTTAGAATAGATAGCTTGTTTATTTCAAACATTTAATAATAAAAAAAATATATAGCTAGTTTCTTTAATGTTAAACAATATTTGTAAATAACATTCCCAGTACAACAAAATCAACTCTATTTGTATAATTTGTCGATTTCTTTAAAAAATAGTGTCGTCACAGTAATTGCGTTTGGTCTAGAATTATATAAAAACATTTTACTTAAGTGGACGAAGTCGCGAGCAACAACAGCAATCATACTAATATTACAAATGTGAAAGTTTAGATGGATGGATGTTAAAGTTTGTAGCCTAAACCGCTGAGCGGATTTTGATGAAATTTGGTATAGATGTAGAGGATAGTCTGGAATAACACATAGGCTACTCACTTTTGTTTTATTTTATTTCACTTGGACGAAGTCACATGCAATATCTAGTAACATATAAAGTCAAACATAAACACAATTGTTTGGGAAACTAGCATTTTGCAGTGGGTAATAATGGATACCAAAGTATGTGGTGAAGATGAGCAGCGTGGCGGTGTACATGGCGAGGCTGAGGAGCTCCGCCAGCGCCATGAGGCGGTGCCAGGTGGCGACGGTGAGCGCCACCATGATCAGCTCCGTGAGGATCAGCGCCGTGTAGCTGATCTCCACGATGTGGATCAGCTGCTCCTCGAACAGCACCAGCGCGCCGTACATTATCACACCACCTGACACAAACACAAGCACGCATATGCGCAGCCGCAGACATCGACGGTGTTCCAATTGTGGTTATCTATACTATTATAATAAAGCGTAAACACACACTTCTTTGTTGCCTAAAATGTCAGCAATCACAGCATATTTTGGAATAATTCATTTTTTAATAAAAAGCCCTACACTTACATCACGCTTTAGGCAATTTATTTTCATGCCGTTAAACTTAGGGGTAAATATTTTGGATAAAAACCCTAATGTGTGAAAGAGACCTTACGTTGTTGCCAACATCAAGGAATCCAGATTGCCATGGTTTGTCATGTCATGTCATTTTGACATTTGCAATTTATAATTTGACAAATGTAAACAATAAAATAAAGTTTTTATAATTCCATGTGGATGAAGCCGCATGGGAACAGCTAGTATTGTCTAATTACGATAATTCCATAGTCATCTAACAATTTATTAAACCAGCACCATTAGTATTTTAAAAGTTTTACCCGCCAAAACCTAATAGTAATTTATTCTGTTATTTATATCAAAAACTACTTACCTTGATATATAGATATTCCAGTCCAAATGTAGAAGGTTTTATAAGAGAGATGTCTTCCTTTAGTCAGCTGTCGATACAACTGGGGATATCTAAGAGCAGTCGAACTTGGTATATCTTTATCAAGTACCTATATAGAAAAATAAACCTATGATGAAACAATTTGATTCAAAACAACATAAAAACATATTTCACTTTCTGTTTTTTTATGATAAACGTTATTTTTTTTTAAATCTAATTAACTAAATTCATTGTATAAAAATCATTCTGAGCTATATGTATTGTGTTTAAAAGTGTTGGTTTTCACAAACAAGATTTTATAGTAAATATTACTCACTAGAGAGAACACCGGCAGCATTGTGAAGACAGTGCCGTATCCGACCATGAGGAAGCCAGGGTAGAGAGACACGGAAGAGAAGTAGAACACCACGGAAAACACCGCCTGCGGAGAAATTACAAAAAATAACAACAAGACGTGTTACTGGTATCGGGGGAAACTTTTGCTGTGGGAAATTAAGTAAGACTTTCGTGGACATCCCCAAGTCTCCTGTGGACTGGGAATGCCGCTTGACTTTGTGAGTCACTGATTTAAAATGCAATTAAAGTGTTTGTTAAAAATAACTGTAATAACACTAGTTTTAGTAATTGAAACACAGTGTAAACTCAAAAAGAAAGCAAGACAATGTTACTATATCTTTACGGTTTAGCCGTAAACAAACATTTATTTATCTATCTATACTAATGTTATAGAGAGAAAAGCTTTGTATTTTTGTATGTATTGAAATAACTCAAAAACTACTGAGATGATTTCAAAAATTCTTACACCATTAAAAAGCTACTCTATCATTGAATAACATAGGCTGTGTCTTTACTATATTTTCAATTTCACGCCAGCGAAATCCCGAGCAATAGCTATATTTGATATTTTTATCAATAAAGTGATTTAGTTTTAAGTTGTAGTTGTATTTGCATGTGTTGTGTTATTGTAGTTGTGTGAGTTGTTTGTGTTTGTTGTTCGCGTGTGTGTGTTGTGTTTGCGTGTGTTGTGTTATTGTAGTTGTG